TTTTTTGCAAATATAAGGGATTAGCTTTATAATTCATGTCCTGTCCAAATCCTGTTGGATATATTGTACATAAYAGCATAGAGTAATTCAGTATTTGTCACTGTCAATGTGTAAGAGAAGTTTCTTTTAGACTATTAATATTTCAAGTAAAGAGTGGAGAAAGAAACCAGTCCTTATTCATGTCAACATGTTCCTTTTAGCAAAGGACCAAGATCTTCAAAGGGCTGCTGGAAGAAGAACCAAATATGGAGAAACTAATCCTGGTGAGTGAAAAAACACAATACAAACCTTACACAAAAAACAACTGATAAGCAAACTTTTGCAAAATAGCCTTACCTGAAAAAAAATCCATTCCCTTTTAGATTCTTGCAATACCACAGTCTCCTTCTCAAATAAATGGACGCCTTTCTATTGCTGCTTTTTTTTTATTCTAATAAATGYTCATGGTAATGACCATGAAGTAAGAGCACCTCTCCAAATAAACCTTTTGAAAAAGTCAAATATGGGCTTCTTGGAACAACATCAATACAGCAGGAAGATTAAAAACAATAAAAATCAGACTGAGAGATCAGTGGAGTGAAAAAAATCAATCAAAAAAAAAACCAACCAAGGTTGAGATACATGAAGACAGGTAAGTAAGCTGAAGTTATCAAAACTGCATCTTTAGTGTTATTACAGAACAACAGATTTTAGAAGTAACAAAACATTAATATAAGTGAAGCCCCTGGAAGTCAGGAATTTCATTCTCCATCACTTCATGATATTCAAGGAAAACTTTGCACCAATGAAAGTATTTCTAAAAACGTTAATCACGTAACTGTTTATCAAGCTTTGCATCTTTAAGAAGAGAGTCTTAGACTTTATTTCAGCCTCCTCTAGTCAAAGGAAGCACATGTCCGTCTTTCTGCACCGAACTAGTAAGAAAAGACACTGTGCAAGCCAACAGCCAAAGGATGCAGATTTCTAACACTTCAACTGAGCACACCTGTAACTGGTTAACTTTCACCAACTACATCAAAGCACAGATGCAGCAAGGAGAAAATGGAACTTTTTATTAAACAGAAAACCCCACCAGGTTGAGAATGAGCTTTTCCACTGAGATGCCACCATCAGAGCACGTGGTACGGTGTGCAGACATCACCTTGAGTCCTACATTCCGGTTTTTCGGCAGAAATACTGCGGGTGTCCTGCTCCAGAAGCCGCAGGGGCACTCTGTGAGGACCACTCCAAGACAGACACACGAGCACGGTGTGGCCCAACACGCCCTCCAGGCCGAAAAACCACCAAACTCATGTTTTCATGACATCCTGCACTCGTACAGGCACTGTTTAACAGAGAGACTCCTAGTGAAATGTAAYTGAGAATTTCGATTCTGATGAGAAGGCGAACGCTCCAGAGGCTGGAACACCGGGGCGGCGGGAGGCGGCGGGCAGGCACAYCGCGCTCTCGGGCGCTCCGCCACAGCACCAGCGGCCCGCACCGCCGCCCGAGGGCTCGGCGAGCAAGGGGCGGCCCGGGAGGAGCCCCGGGGCTGAACCCACCTGTCCGAGTCCGACGAGAGCACGGTCACAACGGGGGCGCGGGGCCAGGAGGGCTGCGGCGTGCGGCGCTCCCCGGCGGCTGCGGGCAGCGGAGGCAGCGGGGGCAGCGGGTCCTGCCGGGCTTCCCCAGCGTCCCCCGCAGGGCCCGGCGCGTTCTCCGAGCCGGCCGCCCGCTGCCCGTCCGGCGCCACGGCCAGACTCTCCAGCTGCTCCAGCATGTCCCGGTGCGCCTCCATTCCCGCGCCACGCGCTCCCGCCGCCCCGCCCCCCACACGCGCCACTTCCGGCCGCCGCCAGCCGGCCCCGCGCGCTGAATTGCGGCGGGAATGGGGCGGGATTGTCACCGAGCGGGAGGGCGGGACCCGGACTCGCTCCCTGTCGGGGCTGCTTTACACCCGGCTCGGCGGGAATGGGGCGGGATTGTCACCGAGCGTGAGGGCGGGACCCGGACTCGCTCCCTGTCGGGGCTGCTTTACACCCGGCTCCACGAGTGTCACCTTTGTGGGGCCTGCTGGAGACACAAAGCTGCTTGTTCCTGCCGAGCACCTGCGGGGAGGGATTAGTTTTGGTGCTTTATAAATGTGGTGACAACACGCAGAATTATGTAATTAAAACTTAAAAAAAAAAAAAAAGGAAAGCTCTATTATATCAAATTACTATACGAATAGTAAGTTTTTGTGCTCTGATGTAGTGACCCCATAATAATAGTGACTCTAATGCCAAGCTCTCCAGAACCTAACCACATCCTTCACCAAAACATAAATGTCTCTTTATGTTCTGGGTTCACCATAAGTAGTCATGGTTTTGGAGCCTGAGTTTTTTTGGTTTCCATGTCATGCAAGTCGGTAAGGTGCGGGAAGGATTCTTGGCACCCTGGGATCTGGCACACATGGTGTCACTGACTCATAGGAGAGAACAGACTCAAATTCCTCCTGACCAACCTCAGGCTCTTCCTCGGGAGGGTAAAAGAGCACGAGAAGCACAGTGTTTTCTCTTTTAACACGATTTATCCATGGGAAGTCCCAAATGATGTGTAAAAGGCAGGCAGCATCAGGAGGTCACTGTTAAGGTGAGCCTACAGACAAGCCTGTGATAAATTGAGCCTCAATATTCAATCAGAGGTTAGAATCCAATTAACARTTTATWAATTAATTAATAAAGCAAACAGATATTAGTCAAGCAACCACAGCGCTGGGCGGGYTAGGCRAGTGRCYGGCTGCACCTGGGACACCAGCTAGGTGAGTCTCTCCCACCAACACCTAYGACACCGCGCTGCACGTAGTCTGAGCCYCCTTTTTACACCCCCTCTGTCTCTAGGTGACCTGGTGTTTCTAGAAGTTTCCAGAGACTCTGATTCGTCTGCGTTGTGTTGTTACTGGGGTCTYTTGCGGTTGTTATGACGACCATTGGTAGGCGGGGTTACKGGGAGGCAGGAGTCTTCTCTGCACTTCGCAGTTCCCTTCCCCTCCCCCCTCAGATACATGAAGGTGTCACAAAGTGGGCAAAATTGTGCTGGGGCTGTCAAACTGTTTTAATAAAGCATGTGGCGATTTCATGAAGTGACTTATCACAAAGCCCCTTTAAGCCAGCCACCGAAGTGCAGTCTGATAGCTGTGCTCCTGGGCCAACACTGTCCGTTCCTGACCACATCACACTTGTGATAAATTGAGCCTCAATAGCCAATCAGAGGTTAGAATCCAATTAACAATTTATTAATTAATTAATAAAGAAGCATTAAGCAAACCTATATTAGTCAAGCAACCACAGATCTGGGCGGGCTAAGCGAGTGACCGGCTGCACCTGGGACACCAGCTAGGTGAGTCTCCCCCACCAACACCTACGACACCGCACAGCACGTAGTCTGAGCCTCCTTTTTACACCCCCTCTGTCCCTAGCTGGTGTTTCTAGAAGTTTTCAGAGATCCTGATTGGTCTGCATTGTGCTGTTATTGGGGTCTTTTGCAGTTGCTATGATGACCGTTGGTAGGCGGGGTTACTGGGAGGCASGAGTCTTCTCTGCACTTCGCAGTTCCCTTCCCCTCCCCCCTCAGATAYATGAAGGTGTCACAAACTGGGCAAAATTTTGCTGGGGCTGTCAAACTGTTTTAATAAAGCATGTGGTGATTTCATGAACCAACTTATCACAACACTGTCCTTTGGATTCCATGTGCTCCTCATCACCAGGCAACAGGGTGAACAGCAGAATACAATGTAGGCCTGAGGAGTATAAATTGATAAAAAGAGATTAATACATGAAAAAGTTAGATGTGATAATGGGCGATGGATGAGCCAGAGAGGACTGGGACTTGAATATCTGATGAGAGCAGAGAATGGTACATATTCTGTGTAATAACCTTCCYCTCCAGCTTTGAGAGAGCTGTGTGCCCCACAGCTCTAATGGCACTCAAAACATTTCATTCTTGTCCAGGCTACGTTGAACACACCATCAGAAGAGTGCTTCACTAGTACCCACGCAGCCTGAAGGSAGCATGTGAAGGCAGAAGATTTCATTCTCTGGTACTTTCACTCTTTGTTATGACATAGCAGATGCAACCAGCAGAATTTTATTTAGTGGGAAAATTATAGATGTCCAAATTTGTGTAACTTACTTCATCAGTACTTTTTTCATTTGTGTACAATTATGTGTAAGTCAAGCAGAACAGGTACATTGTAGGCACTTGATAGTTTTTGCACTGTCATAAGTGAAAAGCCTGTATAGGCTGTACGTGTAAATAGCTGCAGTAAACTCTCTCTCACTGCACACTTACTCAGAACACCTAGGCTAGGAATCATCTCCACCTTCAGTGGCAGCACTGGGATCCTGAAATGAGTGTACGCGGGAAGCATGTTCTGAATATTACTGACCTGTACTGCAAACTCTTTAACAAAAGAGATCTTTAGAAAATCATGMAATTAAATGTCAACAACAATTAGTTGTCAATTGCATGGAGATTAAATGTTGAGCTGTCATAAAAATTGTTTATATTGAATCTCAATGGCAAATATATTTTAATCCCTAAGGGAGTGGCAGAAATTAAATATATATGCAATTAAGGAATGAATAGAGGTAGAATCCTGCTGAAATCCAATTCTGCAAAAACAAATACTGCAAAACCAACTTTCACTTTAAATTAAGCAAGGACAATTTATTATTAGTCAAGTTTTTAAACATTTATTTGTTTTTTTCAGATGTACCTGTAATGGACTATAATGCAAGATATATGAGTTCGCGTGAGAAAGTTGATCAGCGTGACTGGAAGAGAATGATTTCCCCAAGGCAGGCATAGCCGTTATATCTGCCAAACCCTTTCCTAACAAAAGCTAAAATAATTGGTGCCATAATGTAGGACGGAATTAGTTGAATGAAAATTCATTTTATTTGTTAAACACACATATCTTATAAATGCAAAAAAATACTCAGGTCTGTACCTTGCATTTATGTAACTAAAATTCTCCAACTCTTTTATGAACCACATCGTTCCTGKTTTTTTTTAAGGATTTTATGTTTTATAGCTTTACTCTGGCATATAGATTGTGTTATGACAGTTTCCTCTGTGTTTGTGCAGAACTGGCAGCATCTTTCAAACAAAAAAGATGCTTTATTTCATCTGAATCCTGCACCTTAGCCCTTAACATGTACRACAGCATTGCTTTTAGAATGAGGATTTTGAAAGGCTTGATGCACAGTAAACACCATCAACCACTCAGCCAGGGCATTTGTAAATAATCTGCAACGTAACAGCATGAGCACAGAGATGTTCTAGGAAAATAAACATTTCAGAGAGGAGCACTTGAATCATAGTAGCTCCAACGCATGTTTTCAAGGTCTGAGCAGTTAAGAAATGTCACTGCTGGGACTGGAATCTGACGTCATCTGTCAAGGCTGGGATAAAAGGTATTGTAAGCCCTGCTTTCTGCCTCCAAGTATTTGATGAAGCTTTCTGGAGGTGGTATTTCCTACATTTACCTCTTCAGCCTTGCTGCTATGATAGGTATGCATAATTGCTCCCATCATGCTTTTAAAGCTAAAGTGGTAGCACTCAAACTGTTTTTACAACATTTTATTTAATTTCTTTGGATGCAATAAAGGAGTCTGTTGAAAAAAAGTTTCTTTATGAWATCTGTCCTAGACTTGAATGTGGAAAATAGTGTGGAGATTTCAGTGTTCTGCTTATTATGTCTTGGGAGGAAAAGGCATGAATAAGAAAGGAAGTCATGTTTATTAATATGTTTTAAATATGAAAACAAATACTATTCACAGTGACACAATTAATATATTTTATGCTTCCATATTCTAATGACAATACACAGTGATATCACTGTACTATAGGCAGTATAAGCAGTTGATAAGCCAGTTGACACAGTGTCACCAGCTGGTCGAGGGAGAGGATTGTGCCACTCTGCTCTGCACTGGTGTGGCCTTGCCTTGAGTCCCGTGGGCAGTTTTGGGCACCACCTTGCTACAGCAAGGATGTTAAGCAATTGGAGCAGGTCAAAGAAGGGCTGTGAAGATGGTGAAGGGTATGGAGGAGAAGCCATATGAGTAGTGGCTGAGGTCACTTGGTCTGTTCAGCCTGGAGGAGTCTGAGGGGAGAGCTCATCATGGTCTGTAGCTCCTTGCAAGCTGCTCTGCCTCCTTGCAAGCAGGAGGCAGAGGGGCAGGCAGTGATCTCTTCTCTCTGGTGGCCAGTGACAGGACCCAGTGGCATGAAGCTGTGTAGAGGAGGTTTAGATTGGATATTAGGATGAGGTTTGTCACCCCGAGGGTATTCGGGCACTGGAACAGGCTCCCCAGGGAAGCGGTCACAGCACCACCCTGGCAGAGTTCAAGAAGCATTTCGACAAAGGTCTTGGGCACATGTGTGACTCTTGGGGCTGCCCTCTGCAGGGCCAGGAGCTGGACTTGGTGATCCTTGTGGGTTCCTTCCAACTCAAGTTGTTCTATGATTCTGTGAGATTCAAGAGTGGAACCAAGGAGGAAGAGGAGTTGTACCACCACAATAGAGAAACCACAAAATTAAATTTTCAACAATTTTGAAGCTACTGCTCCTATCTCASAGTATTTTTTCCCACTCTTTGGCTGAACAATTGGAAGCTAAAGTATTCATGATCTGGAGCAGTGGCAGGGAATGGAAATCAGATCAACAGATTKTTCTGTATCACTATTGCTAGTCATATTTCATTCCACCCAGATGAATCAATATTGTAGCTTGCACAGCTATCTAGTACAGAAACGAGATTAAAATAGCTACAGTACAGAATGTTTT